TTCAAACCATGACAACATGAGCACTGAACTCCAGTTCCCTGCTAGAGATGCACGGCTCTCATCAATCAGGAATGCCTGCATGGAGAATCAAAAACTGCTGTGACTTTTCATTTGAAGGATTTGTTGTTGGAATAATTTCTTGGTATGAGCATCAGGCCTTAATTGCAATCACTTTATAACAATAATGATAATAACTAGACATGCTAGTGGACCTGAATAAACGAAGGCTTCATTGCCTTTAGTTTACAGTTTTGCTCTTGGAGAGGACACTAATGACCTACTAGAGGGATACATTTCCAGGTGCAAGTCAAGGTGCAGTATATTAAAATAAATACTCCAAAGGTGAGCAATGCCATGAACTATATAAACAAGATGTAGCATGTCCAGGTGGTGTTGTGTAGTTTGATGGCCACAGGTAGGAAAGATTTCCTGTAGTGCATCATGGTGTAAAGACTCTTTTGCTAAACTGTCCAGCACCTCATTGAGAGGGTGTGAAGGCTTATCAGTGTTTCTTACACCTGTATTAAGGAGTCAAGCTCCATTTCCACAACCTTACTGACCTAGATAGGTTTGTTAGGTCTGTTAGCATCTGCACCGTCCACACCAGAGCATGGAGGGTGGTGCTGGCCATAAAAGACCCAACATTCAGCTACAGGAGGTTAAATGTCAGGTGGAAGGATGAGGATTAAGTCTATTTTCATGGCAATTCAGTGGACTGAAATAATCTAAATTGATTTATTTACAGGCTTGACAGAAAACTTAAAAATATAAATGAAAAAAAAAAATCATTCCCCCCCCCCCCCCCCAAAAAAAGCTGGTGGTAACTTGTGCTAGCTGAGTCTACAAAAGACTATGAATTTGACTCATTTCATACAGCCACAATAGACATAATAATAAAAGTCTACAAGAATAATCATTAAAATGATTAATAAAAGCACATCTGAGAAATGTGTTTCTTCCTGTTAGCCTGGTCAGAAATGAATGTGTTAACTGTTTCTACATTGACGTCTGATTAGCTTAATTATCTGACAAAAAACATGATGGAATGACAGAACCTTTCCTAATCAAAGTTCATATGGTTATTAGACTTCTGCATAAGTGTTTGGTGACAGGGGAGGAAATGTCATTCCTGAAAAAACTACTAAACAGTAAAATACAAAAAGAACAACGAACCAAAACTATAACCAGGATCAAAGGAAAAGCAAACCATGATGCAACAAACAGAAAGAATAACCAGATAATATCTAAAACAAGAACACCCAGAGTGCGCACCTCCACCTGAAGGGCAAGGGTTATACTAAAACCCTTAAGCTGATACCTTAAAAACACTCGACTGCTAACAAACAGACAAACAAACAAACAAATGGAACTGAAACTAGAAAGCCCATAAGCTCAAGACATTGGGTCAATGACCGAGGACCAGATGTGATAATCGTGATTTTATTTTGCACCTGCCGACATGAATTTGACATTTTGAGACTAAATTATACAAAGATACACCAGGGAACACAGGGGAATCCTACAATGACACAGAAAACAGATATCAATAACTAAGACTTCTATTTAAAAAGAAAAATAATTTTGTCAGATAACCCAAATACTCATGTTAAACTCTCTTCTTACGAAGACAGCAAAAGAAGCTTGAGTGGATTAAACCAGCATCACATTTCGCACTTGTAATGTCTGCTTTGCAACTACATCTAAACACTATTTTTAAAAAAATGTCAGCATTTCATCACCACAAGCTAAATATTCTACCTTTTTGTTTAGGCTTTAGATTTGGAAAGATTTAGCGTTATCCAGCTTAGGATCAGTCCACAGAAACCTTTTTAAACATTGATGAGGTGTGAGTTTTCACTGAGAGATTAGTGCAGTTGTACATAATCCCATTAATGAGGTGTCACAGAAAGCCCTGCAGGGCCCTTCAGCAGAAACACCTGAATGAACTGCAGCCTTTTTAATCTCATTATTAAAACCTGTCTGAGTCAAAGTGTCTGTGAGAGACTCGTCTGTGTGGCCTTTATTACCGCGGGATTTAAGAAAGTTACGACTGATTAATGTTAAAGAAACCTTTTAGTTTCTTGAGAAAAAGCTCCTGGAACCTAAAGCTTAAAGTACTTAGGGTGGAAATGCAGACTTATTTCCATTGTTTTGCTTACTGTTCACACTTTCTACCATCATCATAAAGAGGGAGACAACCAGCCAGGGTTCACTATAAATACAACTGAATATATCACATAAAAACAAAAGCGAGACATATAAAACAGCAATTTATAAACTGTTATCTAAAGTAGATGAAATTAAATTGTTGGACAGATCAAAGGTTCATACTACAGTAGCACTGTAGTATGAATATCTGGCTCGGTATGTTTTTGTGTTAGTAATTCCTTTAAAGTTTGACACGGCTCCAGATCTGCCACTTTAAATGCTGGCAGAGGGATACCTCCCTTTAAATCCCCTTCACACTCACATGTAATGTTATCAGCATTAATGGCACATATTGTTTGTGAATGTGGTATTTCTTTGCTCTGGTATGTACTGCTGCACTCTGTGTCTCAGACTCTTGGGACGGGATAGTTTTCCTTTTTAAGGCAGGTTAGTCAGAGCTCTTCCCCCTCGAATGCTGTCATTAACAACCTGGGCCACCTCACCATGTGAGGACGAGGCTAAGTCTTGAAAGTTGCCTTGCATCCTCGCATTGTTATGATGTGAGATCACAGCGGCAGGGAAAGACGATGTTCGCATGAACCTCGACAGGTCTTCCTTGGAAGTTTATCCTTTTTGTAAAGGATCGGTTCTAGTTTTCATGGATCTGCAAGGATTGGTGTAGGCACAAACTGTAGGTATAGACTATAATTGTTGTCTATATTGAAAATAAAACATTGCTGAGCAAAAGTAGGAAATAAACACCCCCCAAATATCATCCTAAATACTCACAAAAAGATTAAAAATAACCTCAAAAGCATGCAGAACTACTACAAAAAGACTCAAACAACCATAAAAAGAGTCATGGGGAACAAGATACGGAGAGCCTCAAAATTATTTTACTCCACGTTCTGCATGCAAAAAGTTTTGAGGCCATCTCGAATTTGGCTAGTCAGTGTACCCCACCATATTAAGAAGGAAGTGCAGACTGCTTGTGGTGGATGAATCGTCTCGAATTTTCTCTTGACTGAAGCTTGGACTTTTAAAGTTTCATTCAGCAATATTGTGATAGTATTTGTCTCTGCCCATCAAGAACTGTCAACATTAACTTTTATTAACAATAGCTCAACCCTAATTTTCCATCTTCCTTGAGCTAATGTGTTTACATTAGCTTAACCATAGCTCTTTGGCTAGCAGACCATTATATGTTAGTCCAAATTCACTACCTACCAAATATTACTTCTATTTAGTTTTCTGTCTTTACTTACATCAAAGTTATAGCACTGCTGTATTTCCTTTTTCAGAACATGTTTTATCATCTATGGATGTATATCAGCTAGCTACCTAGCTTCCAGCTAAGTTCTAACTAAGCTAAACCTTAAATCCTCTTTGTCAATAAACTTTATTGTAACACCTGGGAGAACAGCCACATTGATCATTCAACAGGAATCAAGGAAATTTGGACTATTTTGCTCTTGATTGTGCCTCTATTTTTGTTTGACTAATAAATGCAACACGCGTATTGGGGGAAAATAAACATTACTGCCCCCACTCAGCAGCAGGTCCTGATATGGAAGCTGGCTCCAGAGCAAAACTCATCAACTTTAAAAACTTGAAGTTTTAAATTTTGGGTCAATTTCAAACTATTTTCTCACAATTTTGAGTTAGTATAACACTAACCCTAGATGTAGTGACCTGTATGTTAGCTGTCTCTAACCCAGTAATCTTACCTAAACCTAACCAAGAGCTAGGTCAGCCTAGTTTAACTTAGTTAATTTAGTATGGACATTTAAGTGCCTTTCTCTCATTTGATTGACAAATAATTGGGAAGTCTAAAAGTTACATCCACCAGCCACTACAAACTAATGTCTGTCGATCAAGTGTATCCAGCAGGGTGATTGAATTAATCCTGATTTTACCCTTAACTTAACTAAATATTTTGCAAGCGTAACCTGAATTTTTGACTTTGAAATGGCAAAAAGCTTTTATTCAGTGGGAGAAAAAAAGCTGCCATAGCCTGCTGCATGACTTCTTCTTCTTGTTTTAACTATCACAGATGTGCCAAACACATGGATGTCCGTACTGATTGCAGATCCTTTTCGTACACTTAGATATGGAAATGCTACACATTGTTGGTTGACTGGTTTAAAAAAAATGAAACAGGTCTATTTTGTTTATGTCCAGTATTTTGTTGACCTATCCACCCACCCCAACCTCACACTACACTGAATTTGTGGCTTTAAAATTCATATGTTTTAAGGCAACTGTGGGACTTCCGCTTGTTAAACATGTTTTGTAATCATTTGCTTAAAATACTGATGAATACTCACATGACCACTCAAAGCCAATAAAAATATCAATATGTTATAAACAAATTGGAAAAAAACCTTATGTCAGCAACTCAAGTAACAGCTTGGACAATGGTTGTTTTCAATTCAGTTTAATTCCATTTAAATTAATTTATATAGTGCCAAATCACAACAATAATTGCCTTAAATCACTTAGTGACAACAAATGCAGTGTGTTAAGCATGTCTGTTCCTTCCTTTGATCATAATTATGATTGTTTTGCCTTTTTCTTTATACATCCTGTCTTAAGGAAACAAATTTGTGGCTGCATAGAATATGAATGCCTGGAAAAGCAGAAGAAAGTGAAGAGAAAGGGCTGAGGGAGAAAGGAGAGAAGGCAAGGGGGAAAAGGTAGCTGGAGAAGAAATGAAGGCAGGAAAGGAGAGAAGAAAGAAAAAGAATGTAACAAGAAGGGCTAAAGGAGAAAGACAGAGACACAGGGAGGGCAGTTCCCAGGAAGGAGGGGGGAAAATTGAGGAAGGAGGTAACTACAAATAGTTGAGGGCTGCAGGTTCTTCTTCAGTGCTCCTCTCTGCTGCAGCTCTCGCCAGGCTCTCTGTGTCCTCCAACATGGCCTCCTACAGCTCCTCCGGTCAGACCGCCTCATCGTACCGCCGCACCTTCGGTCATGGCACCTACGCCTCACCATCACTCAACCGATCCCTGCTGGGCCACAGCGGCAGTGGCGGGGGTCATGTCACCTCCAGGGTCTATGAGGTGACCCGTACCAGCGCCACACCAGCTTACCGGGTCTCCTCAAGCTACTATGGCAGGCCGGTGACAACCTCCCGGGCATCCGTTGGGCGCTCTTATGCTGGCATGGGCGAGACGCTGGACTTTAGCCTGGCGGACGCCCTCAACCAGGAGTTTCTCACCACACGGACCAATGAGAAGGCCGAGCTGCAGCACCTGAATGATCGTTTTGCCAGCTACATTGAGAAGGTCCGCTTCTTGGAGCAGCAGAACCAGGCGCTAGTGGTGGAGGTGGAGCGCCTGCGAGGCCGTGAGCCCACGCGCATTGCCGACCTGTACGAGGAGGAGATGAGCGAGCTTAGGAGGCAGGTGGAGATCCTGACCAATCAGAGGTCACGCATAGAGGTGGAGCGGGACAACCTGCTCGATGACCTGGATAAACTCAAAATCAGGTGGGAGGAGCAAGAAGAGTCATGCGTCTTACTAGCTTGTTTATTCTTGTTTATTCTGACATGACCTTTATATATTATGACAAAAAAGAGCTTTACTTAATTTTAAAGTAAAAATCTTTATAGACTTATAGTGAGTCTTCGAACAAATAAACAATTTTAAAAATAATTTTAAAATAAGTAAACTGAAAATATTTCTTAAAAACACAATATTATATATATACACACAAGTACACAATATTACTTGTCCCATACACTTAACAGTTACAGAAATATTGATATTACCATAATTTAAGCAACAACCTGGAGCATTTACCCACTGTGTGGTGTATCTGGAACTAAAATGTGACAAAACCTCTGCAGGTTTTTGCATTTTATTGCACTTTTCTGTGAACACTTGCCAACTGCTCAACAAGCAGTAGTGAAAAATTGTGATGCAAAATGAAAAGAAGTGTGTGGAGTGGAATAATGAATGGAGGAATGAGGTGATACATAGGCTTGTGTGTGCTAGATTTAACCAGCCGTGTGGGAGATGATCTGCTGTTTGTTGCAGTTACAGGAAGTATTTTTAAACCCTGGTTCCTCTGTGCATCTTATTGGTTTCACAGATTGTGCTCTTTACAACAGATTACTTGATTATACATTTGCTATTTTCAAGATATTACCTAAATACTCTAAATATATTTTAAACATATTTTGTATAAATGCAAAGCTGTTTAAATCAAAATATAACAGGATCATTTATACATCATCACAGGAAGAAGATTACAGGTGAGTCATGAGGATGAGTGCCTTACAGGGGGTATTTTGAGTATAAGGATGTTAGAATGTAGAGGGGCGTATAATCAGATAAATCAAAGTAAAACATATATTTGACTGAAGCTTAACAATAATAATGCTGCTAAAATATCACAATCAGCAAAAATAAACCAAAGTATTTTATTAGGTCATCTAAAAAGTATAAATAATCTATGTAATCCTGCTAACAACATGTTTATGCTATGGTAAAAAATATCTGATATTAAAGGGTTATACCAAACATCGGAATATCAGTGAAATGTTATTTTTACTAACCTTGGCACAAAAGCTAAAAAGCTATCTGACTATTACAATGGACTCTTAAATGGTGTAGGGTGCAAGCTACCGAGAAACAAGCTGCCAAATGAGTTTTTCCCTCATTTGAACTAATGAGCAAGATTAGTGACCACATAATTAATCAATCTTTATCTAATTAAATGCATAGCTTAATAACATTAAGTCATGTGATTTTCATAAGCAAGTTATTTGGTAGTTACTGCTACTTTACTTGGCTACGCTAACTAGGCTAAACAGCAATAATTACTATCTATATAAATATTATGTAGATAGTAATTCTCTGTTATGATTAGATTCAATATTTGTTGTAATATAACAAATTACTTTATTTTTTTTAAGTAATATAGAAATAATGACTTAGGTTAATAAATTAGTATTGACTTAAAGAAATTTAATATTGAGCTTAACTGCTAGTAATAATAATAATAAAAGTAATAAAAATGTATACTTTATTGATCCCTGTGGGGAAATTACTCTCTCTGCATTTGACCCACTCGCTCAGTGAAGCAGTGGGCAGCCACTAAGCAGGTGCACCGGGGAGCAGTGTGTAAGGACGGCACCTTGCTCAGGGGTACCTCAGGGTAGCCGTTCAGTGGATTCAAACCCCTGACCGTCTGATCATGCGGCCACCACTCTACCTACTGAGCTAAACTTCTTGTTACTTTTTTCTCCAGTTGATTTGGTTTGGTTGGTTTTTTATTTAATATAATACATTAACTTCCTAAAATATATAAAAAAAAATTAAACTGTTGATTAATGCGTCTGTTTGAATACCATTGAACTCGTAGGCTAATTACAGTAGTAATTAATAATTTCCAAATTAAGCATCCTTTATTACTTTCTTCTTTATTATGATTAGATTTAACTGGAATATTTATGGAATATAAAAAAACATTTTCTAATATGTCAACGAATATTGAACTTATGAACAGGATTAATTACTGTGTGTTTAATAAGATAAGTTTAAATATGTACCTTAATTTCTGTATTAGGACAGTTAGCTTATAGTGGCAACAACTAACTACTGTCTGGTGTTAAATTAGATACAACTCCATTATTTGAATAAAAAAGCTGTGTTATTAATAACTGGAAAAGAAAATTTAATTTATTAATTTAATGAAAGACAAAGCTGGGAAATTATGTTAGTTTTAATATCTTATAATTAGCCTCATTGTAGTTAATTTTTTTATATATTTTGTTTAATTTATACAGCATTATAAAGTTTATATGAAAATATAAAATGTAACTTCATCAATAAATATGTTTATTATAAAATAATTTTATATTGTAAGCTCTGTTACCACGCTTCTGACAAATTCAATTTGAGTTAAATGATAGAAATTGTAATTTTCATTCCACGTAGCTCTTTATTTAATAATATTATTTATTAATATTATTACTGCATTGTTATTTACAGCATGACAAGTCTTGCTATTCATTTTACACCTGCAGAGATGATGAAAATATCAAAGCAGAGAAATGAGAGAAGTGTGATCCCCTGAAAACTCCAAAGCGAATATTTAAATAGGCGATGATTATAGAGGCATTTTGCAAAGCTCAAACCAGTCTGCATCGATAAATATACTTGTGTGCCATGATTTAACTTTAGGCCTGACATAATGATGAAGTGCTCCTGAGCATACAATTCTTCAATCAGTCCATTCAAAATGTGACATAAACTGCTGTTAATCTCAGAGCTGAGCATCATTTTTCTCTGACTCCAAAAAGCATTGGTGACTGATTTGATGTGATTAATAGACATGTGTGTGTCAGTGTGTGTGTTACTACTTGAGACTGACCAAAGTTAGCGCTAATCACACACTGTGTTTACATGGCTCTCTTCTATAAAAGGAGAGGAACAAGCTCACACATATCTGAAGGATCTGTCCTTTCTCTGTCTGCAGTTTACGTTTTTAACAAGCAAAAGTTCATTTCTTTCCTTGTGGTTGAGACTTAAAGGCGCTCTTCTGACACCTTAAATAATTAAATGTGGTAGGCAGTGTGTGTTTTGACTTTACTGGACAAAAAAAGTTGCCATGATAACCTTTAAGCATTTTGTATTTCAAGAGTCAAAGATCAAACAAGCCTCCTAACCTCCTCAGGCTTTAGAAAATCTATTCCACAAGGGGAGTCTTTAACCGATCAGTGACCTTTACAGGGTATAAAAAGTGAACAAGTTCAAGTTAAAGGATGCACTTTCATCTTTTATTTTGAAAAAGTGTCCTTTTAAGCTCCGACTGTTAAGTAATGGACTTCCAAGTCTGAAGCCAATGTGGAATTGTGCTAAACCTGCATTGTTTCTAATTGCCAGCAGGGGGCGTCACCTCTGGATGTTAGTTTCAAATCTTATTTATTACAATATAATGTTTATTTTCTACATTTTTCAGACCATTTAAGGTTAGAAAGGATGATAAAGAAGGACGTGCAATCAGGCAGGCCACCTTGTGTGCAGTCACGTCTGGTTTAAAAACACCAAAATGAAAATGCTAAACCTGAGGCGTCACTAACCAATGGGTGAGAGCACACTGGCAACATCCATCTTTTATATACAGGCTATGAAATGATGCATCTTTGAACTTATTAGCCTAATTCAGTTTTAACGTCTTTCTGTAGAGCTGGTGTGTGGACAGCAGCTTCTACAGTGTGTTCAAACCAATCATTAATCCAGCTGCTCATTAATGGCTCTCTGTCTGAAACCATGCTTTGTGTCTCACTGCCCTGCAGACTCCAGGAGGAGATTCTTCAAAAAGAAGAAGCAGAAAACAACCTGGCTGCTTTCAGAGCGGTATGTCCCACTCTCATTTCCTGTACTTTCCCCAATAAATACAGTGTTAGAGGGGAAAGGCTGAGATGGTTCAGACATGCAGAAGAGGGATAGTGGATATTTGTTACTGGACAAAGGATGTTGAAGATAGAGCTGCCAGGCAGGAGGAAAAGACAAGTTCATAGCGAAGAGTCATGGATGTAGTGAAGGAGGACACACAGGAGGAGGAGGATACTAGAAGATAGAAGAAGAATGCTGAAGCTCATAGAAACAAAAACATAAAAAAATAACCATAAACATAACAAAATAATATAATTATGATAATAATATTAATATAATAATTTGAATGTGATAAATAAAATATATCTTCGTTTTTTCTGTTACTTTTTGGTGTACTATGGCAGACTATGGATGTAAGAAGGCTATAAATCTGGGTTACAACATTTTAAAAGGGAAAATACTGTTAAAAGTTTTGTACTTCTAACATTTTCAAAGCCATCAAGTGGACTGGATTAGTTGGTCTGCATTTTGGCCCATGGGCCATACGTTTGCCATGTTTCACAATAATTAGCCTGCTGGTGTGGCAAACTTAATGGAAGTTTGTAATATATGCATTTTTTTAAAATCATTATACACTTTGATTCAATGGAAAATATGTCGATAATTATTCCATGATTATCTAATTTTTACATAAAATGAACATTTTTAATGTTGCAGGATGTGGACGCTGCCACTCTGGCCCGTCTGGACCTGGAGAGACGCATCGAGACGCTGCAGGAGGAAATCGCTTTCTTGAAGAAGATCCATGAAGAGGTTTGTTCTTCACCCTCTTCCATCTTTACCAGTCGCTGATCCCAGCTCCTTTATCAGGGTTTAAAATGCATTCATAAGTGTTTTATTACACTGCTGCCATCAGCGTAGGTTCTTCATTTAGTAATAAGTAGATTATAGAGGACTTTAGGGAGGAAAGGTGTCACAAATTGTTGCTTTACAATAAATCTGTCAGTGAGGCACAAACAAGCTTCACAGGATTAAGAATGTGTGTTGAGCTGTGTGACAATGCTCTCGGTCTGTCTTAGCATCTGTTAGAACATCTGTCTCTGTGTGTGCGAGATGACAAACGAGAGGGTTTGGGGAGTTTTCACTTTCAAACACGCACAGAATTGCATTGTTGGCAGCAGGCCCGGGCAGCGTGGCAGTAGAGCTCTGAAATCTCCCACAGCAGATGTAAGGCTAAAATTACTCTGTGTACCAACCGGCGGACAAATCCTCGTCTCTGATCAGCATGGGCTTCGTTCTGTCTCCAGCCTGGAGCGATTGCTACATGATGCCAAAGTAGTGTGCTCGACATGGCCTAGGGTTACTCAGAGTGGATTAAAGTGTTAGAAACAGTTTGGACTAAAATTAAGTCACTTTTTAGACAAAAGGAGGAATAAAACCTCAGAAGGTCTGATGACGGTGAATCTTTTTTTACTTCACATCTGCAAATTAATTTGCAACACTGTATAAAGAAAGAGGAAGAAAATCCTGATAACATCTTAAAGCGTCTTTAACTTGGATTCTTTAATTTCATACTCTTATTCTCTCCTTGTACCACTTGTTTTTATTACTGTTCTTTTCCTTGTTCTTCCTGGTTTTCTTGTGGTAATTATTTTTCTTCCTCTCATTCTTGTTCTAGTTATTGTTGTTGTTCTTTTATTCTTTTTATCTTCATTATTATTAGTCTTGTTTCTGTTGTTTTTCTCCTTCATGTTGTAATAATTAGCAGGTATGAAGCTCTGTGCTCACTTACTCAGATGTTTGTTCCTTGTGTTTTGTTTGTTTTGTTTTTTTATTGGTATTTTATTTAATTTATTTTATAGCATTGCTAATAGTTCACCATCTGCACATTCTATAGCTTCATTTTAGCTTCTGGGAGATGCCAACTTTTCTGGTCGTTCACTGCCTAGGCTTACTGTCACACATCAGGTCCTCATTAATCATGTTTATGAACTGCAGAAGGAATTTGGGGTTGATGGTGGGTGTATAAAGTTCTGGCCCTCCAGACCAGAGACTTTCACTAATGTTTGGTAAAGTTGCTGATTTTGGTTGAATGTAATTTAATCATGGTTACTACAGTTAGACTTCAATGGCTTTTTTCTGTATTAAGCCAGACTGGGTTTGTGTCCTAAACAACAAGGAGAGATAGTGATGTTTAAAACTACGTAAGGTTTGTTATGCTCTATAACTGGATAGCCATCCATTCATTTTCCTCAATTTAACTGGTGATGTTTAAGGCCTATCCCAGCTGTCATAGGGCCAGGGCACTGGTACATCTAGCACAGATGACTAATTTGTCATAGAGCTCACACAGAGAGCTGATGGGAAGAGGCGTGAGTTTCTAAAAATGGGCTCATTGAGTCAGCACGGATAAGATCTTGGAGAGACTACGGCTGCTGTGAACACTCAGAATAAGATCTCTGACTGCAGACTGGATACATCTCGGAAGGGCTAGCTCGAAATAACATCTCTGTGCGCAAATTGGATGACATCTCGGGGAGGCACACTGCCGTGAGTTCTCAGAATCGGCTCTTTGAGCACAAGAATGACAATATCACAGAGCGCAAGTTTGATGACATCATGGCGAAGCTCGCGGCTCTCCAACGGGAGATTGAGAGACCAGTGTTGGACTGTAGAACTGCTTTGAAATTCATATGAGCTGTTCGCACTAAAGTAAAAACCACCATCACTTATGCGGATACCCCTTTGGCGCCAGCTGCGGTCTCAAGGCTGGAGCCAAACAAAAACACCCTGATAACGACGGTGTTGAGTCTGTTCCTTCCCATTCCATGCAAGGCCACCTGGGTTGGCTGGAAGACTGTTTACTTAGCCTAGCAGGGCGAAGGACACTGTCTCAGCTGAACTCTGGACACGCACACACATACATATACACTGATATGCACACACTCATCCCCCTCCCTTTCCAAATGCCTTCGACGCTTATTCCCTTCCGATGCTGACGGTGGATCAAGGAGACCAGCGCACAGGCTGCAGGCCCGGATGCACTGTCTTAATCGGCTGTCTCTCACCCTTTACCCACCCCTGTTGCTTGTCATGTGTTTCTTTGGTGTATTTGAGTTTTTTCATGGGCTATGTGCAGAGGTGTTTTTTTCTGTTCTCATACTGATCTCCCTGTTGGAGCTCAGTCTGGGGGGAGTTTTTTTTCTCTCCTTATCTTTCCTCATGTGGTGCATTTTCCATTGTTATACCTCTCTGACCTGTCTTCCCCATGTGATGTTTTGTGTAATGTATGTAAGGTCGGAGGGTAAGTTGGCACCGCCATTGCGTGCAATAGGTCGGCAGCCTTATGAAATTTCCCCTTGTGGGACTAATAAAGGTATATCAAATTCAAATTCAAATATAACAGGCCAGTCAACCTTACGTTTCTCCTCCTCCCACAGGAGATCCGTGAGCTGCAGGCCCAGATGCAGGAGACTCAAGTCCAGATCCAGATGGACATGTCCAAGCCGGACCTGACGGCAGCACTACGAGACATCAGGGCTCAGTATGAGGGCATTGCTGCCAAGAACATCGCAGAGGCTGAGGAGTGGTACAAGTCCAAGGTCAGAGGGATGTTGTCTGTATTAACGACACTTAGAGATCGATTCTGACATCCAAGAGTTGGGGATTTAAAATAAATTGTGAAATCTATTTAACCTTTGACCCTGCAGGTGTCTGATCTGAACCAGGCGGTAAGTAAGAACAACGAGGCTCTGAAGCAGGCCCGTCAGGAGACCATGGAGTTCAGACACCAGATCCAGGCCTACACCTGTGAGATCGACTCCCTCAAAGGCACCGTAGGTCTCATAAACCTTCTTCGGTTTTTATTTAAACCTAATCTTCTCTGAGCTCGGTTTGATTTCAGACTCTCCTCTCTGATTAATCCAGAATGAGTCTCTGATGAGGCAGATGCGGGACATGGAAGACCGTCATGGACGAGAGGCCGGCAACTACCAGGATAGCATTGCCCGCCTGGAGGCGGAGATCGCCAACATGAAGGACGAGATGGCGCGCCACCTCCGTGAGTACCAGGACCTACTCAATGTCAAGATGGCGCTGGATGTGGAGATCGCCACCTACAGGAAGCTGCTGGAAGGAGAGGAGAGCAGGTAATTTATCAAACTATCCAACCAGGCCAAAATTGTTTTGTTTTAGTGTGCTGCCTTTACAATAAAGATTTGGAAAAGAAAACTGCCTCAGAATGTCAATATTTTATCCAGATACACATAAAATAACATTTAAAATGATATTTTCTACACTTTCCCTTCTCCCGTTGCAGGATTGCCTTGCCTGTGCAAACCTACTCCACGCTGAGTTTCCGAGGTGCACACACAGCTGCAGTTACCTAAACATACCACCAGGGGCTAGGCTTCCTTTAACCAGGACACAGGCCTTATTCTGTTTGATTCCACAGTCTGTTCAGATGGAGCCTCCTTTACTGTTTGTTATACATTTCAATAATATTTTACTTTTTTACCAAATTAAAACTGTGTAAGATTAAAATTTTACTTAATTAAGAAAATGGGTGTTAATTAATGAATTGATTTCTAAATCAATTAACCTACAAATTAAATACAACCCCAGTGTTATGGGGTTGTATTTAATTTGTATTTCATAGGTCCAAGAGGCATCCACATAAAGTTTTCATTGATTTTTCAAAATAACATAACACATTTTACATATTAAATAAAAATTAAATGTATTCCGACCTTTGTTAATCAGAGACCAGCCCTGAGCAGCAGCGCTCCTCTGAGATGCATTCAAAGAAGACTGTCCTCATCAAGACCATCGAGACTCGCGATGGAGAGGTAAAACTGCTAAGATATAAAACTGCATTCATTAGCCTTGTAAGTTTTTAAGTTCCCTTCATAAGGATTTTTTCTTTTGTTTGTTTGCTTTTCTTTTGATGTGATCCACCCCAGCAGCTTATTCAAGAAATTCATGAAAAATGTATTTAAGTTCTATAAATCACATTTTATCTTATCAAAGACCGGTAGAGCTTTATTCAACTGCACAAATGCTGCCTGGCACTGCTCTGTCCACTGGACCAGATCTGGGGCACACTTTTGAGTGAGATTAGTTACATGGCTGGTCAGCTCCACAAAGCCGGTCATGAACCGGCGGTCAGTATCTCTTTCGGGATGCCGACTCGGGAGATGATCTGAAACAGGGCCTGGAGGTGCCAGTGTTATGACTCGCTCTATGAAGCCTATCTTTAATCAATACAAATTACAGGTAGGTCAGTGCTGTGTCAGGGCAAACGTGTGACCATCAATTTTTATCACTTGATCAGAAGCTGA